GACTTTGATGAGCTGTTAGGTAGTGTACGCCAGTATTTATCTAACTCTTTCCTGTGTCTTCTTTTCCAAGAGGAAATTCGATCCTTTCAGGATGGTCTCAGGGCCAACCTCATGTTTGTTTTCGAACTAATGACCTTCACACAACCGCAAGCTTCCATTCTTCTCTATGTTTCCATTAAAAAAGTGACCAGAACCAGGGGGTAAACGGGGTGGGAAGAGATAAATTGGGAGTTGGAGCTTTGCAGATACTACTATATATAAAATAGATAAACAACAAGTTTCTACTGTACAGCACAGGGAACTATATTCAATATCTCATAGTAACCTATAATGAGAAAGAATATGAAAACAAATATATGAATGTATATGAATGACTGAAACATTATGCTGTGCGCCAGAAATTGACACAACAGTATAAACTGACTCTACATCAATAAAAAAGAATGCAAATGAAATATGATCATTATTGAAGTTAAACAAAAAAAGTGACCAGATACATGCCACCGTGAGGGAAGACTGTCACAAACTCTCAAATTAGCGTTTTAGAGACTTGAGAAAAATGTTTACCAAAAATTCAGGTGGCTCAACTGAAGTTTATGTGTAGGATTTGGGGTAAAGTAGTCAATTAAAAGAGAACTATTTTTTGCTTCCTACAGACATCAAAATAAAGGAGCAGTCTTTGGAAAATCTAATCAAGTAAGTTCTTATTCTGAGAATGCTTACCTTTGTTTTAATTCCATGAACATAAATTCTACTTAAATGATGTAAGTTCTAAAGATTGTTGAAAATCAGCTTCCAGTAACAGTGCAAAATTAAAGCGCTTTCAGCCTTGTGAAATTGCAAGCAGTGTGATAGAGTGGAAGTAGCAATGGCACCTAATCGGCACTCAATAAATATTTGTGGAATGAGTTAATTGGGAGTCAGAAGACAGGCTTTGAGTCTTGAGTTGGCCTCTGGTATGTGCTCTTGGGCAAGTTACTTCCATTCCTGAGCCTTATTTTCCTATGTGTATAATGGGAGTAATAATCCTTTTGTGCTTGTAGATCCAGTGTCCCATGCAGTAGCTGCTCCCCACATGTGACTAATGAGCACTTTAAATATGTATGGCTAATGTCACTGAGGAAGTGAATTTATAATTTAATTTTAATTAATTTAAAACTAATACTCAACTTAGTTATTAGAAAACATTTAAGTATATTTAGAGGTGCAATATGTAAATCTACTTTTACAACTATGAATTTTGTGAAATATACAGATCAAGTATTTCCAATGAAAATTTAACATTTGAATTAAGATGTGCTAAAATATAAAATATAGTCCAGATTTCAAAGAATAAATACGAAAGCAATCTTTAATAATTTTTATAGGAATGAATGTTGAAATATAATATTCTGGATATATGAGGCCAAATAAATATGTTATTAAAATTAATTTTGGTTTTTTTGCCTGATGTGGTTACTAGAGAACATTTTAAATTATGTTTATGCCTTGCATTATATTTCTCTTGGACAATGCTGACTTACAGAATTGTTTTGAAAGTCACTAAAATAATCTATATGAACTGTTTTGTAAACTACAAAAGCAATGTTTTAATTTTGATCATTGGGCAGAAGTGGTGGGCTTCTGAGACATATGGAAGTAAACGTATTTTACCCTCTAAGATTTTGAGGTATTTATCACTTTAGTGTACTTATTCTTAGAGGAAGATGTGAAAAGAAGAATATGTAGTTAAACATGGTAATTAAAGTGAACACTATAGAACATGACTAAGCGAGGGTATAGAACAAATTGCCACTTATTTTGAATTATTTTTGCCTAAGATATCACTTTGAATAAAAGTAACTTTGATTTAACCATTTATCTTTTAAGTTGTTGGAATTTTATTTCTGCCAACAATTCAGTAAGAGGAGAGAGCATTTAAAGTAGGACAATGAAAAACACTTAAGAAACGTATAACCATCACTGTGTCCGTGCTTGAATGTATGCTTAAAACGGGTAACATGTGACAGCTTCAGACAGAATGTAGACAGTGGTGATTGAGTATTTCTGGGGGCGTAATTGCATTAAAATGTATTACGTAATTTTATGGCTAAGAGCAGTGGCATCTAGTTTTACACTTACAGGGGAAGGAAGATCTATGACCCTCCTCGGTATATGAGTGTAAACCAAGCAGCCCAGCAACTTCTGGAGATTGTTCAGAATCAGCGAATCCGTGGAGAAGATCCAGGTACTCAGGACCCTAAAAGGGCTCTCGTGTTCCCCTGCTGCTGTGCTGAGATGTGGGTGTGACAGAATGTCTGGCACACATGCACACATACACACTAATACCACTGAAGCAAGAGTCAGTGGGTCCACATTGTATTTTTTCTCATCATTTTTTTTTGACTTCCTTAAATCTCATAGGCTGAAAGTTGTACTGAAAGAAAAATAATGGAGTTCTTCCTAATAAAATTAAAAGCATTCTAGAAAGCGAGGATTTTTAACAAATTAATTATAAATCAGATTTTATGTAAATATGTTAATACATAAATATTTTGGTAAAATACAGAACTTCATTTAGCCCAGACCCTAGGTGAGATCTGTCCCGCAGAAGTTTACCTATTCTGCTTTTTCTCGTTCTCAACACTGAGGCCAGGTGTAGCTTTCTAGAGGATAAAGACAGGAGAATTGATCCTTACCTGCCTAACGTCTGGATACAGTGGATATGGTATATAATAAAATGTCCATTATCAGTACTGTTTTATTGAAAGGTTCTTAAACGAATCTGTCATTAGGTTCTGTTTTAAGATACTGACTGGCTTTGAGCACCTATTCCTTGATAGAAAAGATACATGAAGAGATTCTTGGATGACCATTGCTTACTTTTTTCTCAGTAGACCGTTTTAAAGTCATGAAACAAACGATCTGCAAGGACGCTCTATATCCATAACTTTGTACAGAGTTCCTTACAGGCTTGCTTGTCCTTGTAGACATTATTTGCCCATTTTGACCATTTTTCAATCAGGACAGCTTTCCCAACTAAACAAAGCCAGAAAAGGGTCAGCTCTTCAGCTGTTGCATCAGATTGAATAAAACTAAAGTTCACTGATGCTGGCTACTTTGAACTGAAAAGCGTAAGTAACGTCATAATGCCTGTTGTTTGTTAACAGCTCTGTAGTTTACTAAGTACTTTCATATTTATTATCTCAGCCCTTAAACCACCATTTAAGACAGACAGTATTCCATTTTTTAAAAAATGGAAGAAATAAAAATGAAATTTGTCACGTAGCTGATTAAGTGGCCAAACACAAACTCAAATCTGTGTTTTTATCTCATAATCCCCTGGCTTTTCCAGTATTTGGTTGATGTGAATATATCCCGGACATTTTATTTAAAATATAAGCATGTATTAAACACTGTTCACTTAGAATCTTCTTAAAGACAAATGCTGTGCAGTAGAGTATGGATGCAGGTAATTGTTCATCAAGTCCTAAAAACTTGAAGGTGAGCCTTTGGAATTCTGCAAGGGTAAAGTTAGGAAGTACTGCTCCACTTTATATGTCAGGGAGTACAAATCATTTAGAAAAGCCTTAGATAAGTCAGTAGATGGTTGGTCCATAATGAACAACTAAGGGGACTTACGCTATCTGTGGCTTCTTTAAATGTACTTTTGGTACTAGTGTTAGTTTGAATTGATTGAGGATAATGCATTTACTGAATTGAATGGCCGTGTCTTTTTTTTTTTTTTTTTTTGATAGCAATCACCGAGGAGACACTCTGTGTTGGCTTAGCCAGGGTTGGAGCTGAGGACCAGAAAATTGCAGCAGGCACTTTGCAGCAGATGTGTACTGTGGACTTGGGAGGACCACTGCATTCCTTGATTATCACAGGAGGCAGCTTGCATCCACTGGAGATGGAGATGCTGAATCTGTTTTCCATACCAGAAAATTGCTCAGAATCACAAAGCGTTGATGGGCTCCAAACATAGACAGTTTTTCTTGTGAGACATTAACTTCAGTCATGTATGCACGTACACGTATTTGTATAACAAATCAAACAGGCCTTTTGGTTTACATAATAAGTATAAAGCAAGTGACCAAGAAGAAAGGTGTTCACTCACAGTGCTTGGTTTCCTGTGGCAGTGAGTTTTTCCCTGTGACATCATCAGTTGCTGCGGTTTTGGCAGTTTTTCAGGGTGTGCATACATGGAGCAGACCAAATTGGAAAACTTGTAGACAGACATCCATAGGCAGAATTATTGAAGAGCAATTTTTGTTTATGAAACCAGTTTATACAAGGTGGAACTTTCTTCCTTCTTCTAAAGTCAGCTGTACTGACTGCGAGATAAGTTGTCCTGACAGCGTTTGGTATTAATGCAGATAAACAGAGGTGGGAGGCGTTAAGTCCCCACCCAACATTCTTACTTAAAGCTCAGCTGAGTACATGCCACACAGTGACATCCTTTTGAATTGTCTTGTCGTGTTTAGCTGATGCCCTAATTATGTGGCTCATGTTCTGCTGTATTTTGGAGGTTGTATAATGGTTGAATTATGAATGTTCAGCCAGCCATGTATAGCTGCTGCTTGGTTTCAATTAGCATCTTTCAAATCCAAATTGACAAATGGAAAACTTGCTGACTACAAAATAAAATTTAAAAAAATTTAAGTTTGAAGACAACAATGGATTAGTCAAGATTTGTCATATCACTTAACAGTTAATACGGTTCTACGTGTATGCAAGTAGCCACAGTCTTCTTCCTAGTTGTAAATCACACTCCCATTTTTTATATTTCATGACTGTAAAGTTTTGTACTTTTCCAGTTTCTAACAGAAATAGCTTTGCTACATGTTAGTTTAGTTGGTCTAACTCTGAGTACAGTTGACCCTTGAATAACACAGGTTTGAACTGCACGGGTCCATTTGTACACAGATTTTTTTTTTCACTTAATACATCCTACAGTACTACACAGTCTGGTTGGTTGAATCCACAGGTGGTTGAATCCATGGATGTGGAACTGTGGATGTTTTCAGCTTAATGGAGCGTCAGTGCCCCAACCCCCACATTGTTCAAGGTCAGTCAGCTGTGTTTCCATGTTCTAATCAATTTATCTGACCTCTTTGTTCAGTAAATTCATTGGAAGTTGAGCAGATACTTCCCTATTTTCTGGAAGCATCAATTAAGAAGAGATTCTTTTGAGTTATTTCATTTCAGCTGTGATAAAAAGATATCTTAATATATGTGAAACAATCTGTTTTCAATCTGTCGGACACAAGAGGGAAGAGAGCCGAAGGATATTTAAGTACTAGTTCTACCAGTATTTTCTTCTAAGGTGTTAAATTAAATGTTGAAGAATAAATTGAAGGCCTTCTGCTTTTGGTTGTAGTGAAATAGCTTGTGATGGACAAACCTTGGCACTGGGGAGTGGCCATAACAGCCTGAGGGCTCTGCTCCTATGACTCTTCCCTGAGGGCATTCACCGGTCTGTCTGGTTGAGGGGAGGGCTAGAGCTCATGAGAAAGCCGCAGTCTTACAAGCTTGAGGTGTTAGAGGAGTTGGGACTGCTGGATGAGCTGAAATTGAAGGAAGAAATCCTAGAAATGAAGATGGCGCTGAGGAAGGAGCCTTCCAATCTGTGTATAATTTCCCCTTAAATCTAACTCCTGCGTTGTGCATGTGCAGGGAGGGCTCCGATGACTCTGGTGGAGAGCCATATCTGGAAGGCTGAAAAAGCTGAGCAGAAATTTTTGCTCTCTGTCGCAAGAGAAAACAGATTTGAATCCCGGTAAGTTGGAAGGCTTGATAAGTACCTCAGGCTTTCCATCAAATCCCTAGAATGGTTGTGTATTATTAGCGATAAAGGCTATGCCCGGGACTAAGGATTTGTGCTAAAACTAAAGACAGAATCTTTAACGTAATGTAAAATCAAGCCTCCATAAAATCGAGGTGACTGGCCAATAATTTAACTGCCTGCTAGGACAAAGCTTATCACTTCCACCACATGATAACGAAATGAATCTATCTATCAACAATGCCTGGAATGTTTTAAAATACTATGCGGCATGCAGTGAAACAGGAAGATATGACTATGGTCCAAAAGAAAAAAGCACACAGTAAAAAGATCCTAAAATAATCCAGGTACTGGAATTAGCAGACAAGGATTCCAAAGCAGCTATCAGAACTGTGTTCAAGGATAAAAAGGGAAAGTGGTTGTAATGAATTAATATAAATGCGTACTCTCAGCAGAGAAATGGAAGCAAAGAAAAACCCAAATGGACTAAATAGCAGAGCACAGGTAACAGGTGAATAGAAATTGCCCTATCTGAGGAATTTAAATAAAAAGAGCTCAGAACCTCAGTGCCATGTGGAGCAATATCAAGCAGTTCAACATGTAATTGGATTCCCAGAAGAACAGAAAGGAGATAGGGCAGAAAAAAATATGAGTAAGTAAAGGCAAAAATTTTCCCAAGTTTGGTGAACCTATGAATACACAGATCCAGTAAGTTCAGTGAACTCCAAGAAGAATAAATATAGAGAAAGCCATACCTAACAAACAGATCACAGTTAAAACTGACGAAAATCAGAGATGAAAGAATCAGTAGGGGTTGTTCTCATTGGAAACAGTGGCTGTCAGAAGACAATGGAAAGACAAAATCTTTACAGAAATTTAAAAGCAGAATAAAACCCTATCAATCCAGTGTTTTATATATCCAGTAAAAATATCCTTCAAAAATGAAGACAAAGCAATCTTCATGAAAACAGAATTTGTCACTAGCAGACCTGCACTGCAAGGAAAGCTGAGGGAGGTTTCTTGGGCTGAAGGTAAATGACATCAGATAGAAGGGAGGAAATAAGTATTAAGTATAAGTGACTATCAGGTTTTCTTTGCTTCATGTTTTTAAAAGACAGCTGACAATTTAACATAGTGTGGTGGCGTATATCTGGCTGTAAAATACATAAATACATAAACAATATATAAATATATAAAAAATATAAAACAATAATGGAAGTTGCAGATGTTAAAGGGAATTATACAGCTGTGGAGTTCTTTCATTTTATTTAAAGGAGCAGAATAGTAACTGCAAGTAGACTGTGATAAGTTAAGGATGTGTATTGTAATCCCTCGGCAGCCACTATTAAAACAAAACAAAACGCATGGCAGAAGTAAAATAAATAAATATAAGAGGAATTAAAATTGAATCCTGAAAGATATATGATTAACCAAAAGCGGGCAGGAAAGGAGGAAATAAAGGTCAAAAATGATAGTGAGGTGGGAAGCCCCATAAAAAAAGATGGGCAGGCAGGGCAGGGCCACTACTGTCCTGCCAGTACCATCCGGTTCCCTGGCCCAGAGACTCTGTCTCACTTTTTGCCTCTGAAACGGCTTACTTCTAGGAAAGTGGAACTTACTCCTAGAATTCTATTGGTTCCCTGAGCTCACTTGTGATTGGTTATTTATCTCCCTCCTGATTGGTCCATTTCTACAAAGCCTGTTCCTAATTAGTCAGCTTTTGTTATACCTTATTTGCATATGATGTTGCAAAGTGTACACTGGCAGCCTATAAAAGCCTGTGTAAACCTACAGATGGGGTCCAGAGCTTGGAGTGTTAAATCCCCTGGGCCCACTGGCGAAATAAACCTGAGTTCTCCAACTCTCCGAGTGCTGCTTGGTCTCTTGCCCAGTTCCAGGTTGCTGTCATAACTGAGCCGTAACACTGAGCTGTAACACCGAGCGGTAACACGTCTTTCTGCAACAATAGGACAAATAGAAAAAAAGTAGTAAAACAATAAATTTAAATTCAACCATACCAGTAATTGTTTAAATGTAAATTAAGTATTCTAGTTAAAAGAACTAGATTTTTTTTTAAAAAGCACAACCATCTATGTCTGCAAGAGTTAAACTTCAAGGACACAGGATGAAAGTAAAAGAGTGGGGAGAAAATAGACCATACGAACAGGAAGCATAAGAAAACAAGTGGCTACATTAACATAAGACAAAATAGACTTCAAAAGAAGGTGTATACTGGAGATAAAGAAGGACTTTTCACAGGGAAGAAAGGGACAGCTCTTCATGAAGACATTCTAAATGTGTGTGCATTGAGTACCAGCTTGAAAATACATGAGGGGAAATGGACAGACCTAAAGGGAGGTATAGACAAGTATATAATGAACGCTGGGCATTTTAATAATCCTCTCTCAGCAAACAATGGAAGTAAATAAAACATCAGTAAAAATATTGATTTGAACAACGCTAACCATTTGGATCAAAACAGTATTGATCCCTACAGGCATTATTTTCAAGCCCAATGTGGAATATTCACCAAAGTAGACCATATGCTTGGCTCTGACCACAATGGAATTAAAAATTGCCAACAAAAAGATGCCTAGAAAAGCCCCAAATATTTGGAAATAAAACAAGGTACATTTATTTTTAACTGAATAAAAGCAAAAACAAAATGTGAAAATTTGTGGGATGCAGATAAAGCAGTGCCTAGAGAGAAATTTGTAGCTTTAGAACAGAAAAAGTTTTAAAAATCAGTGATCTGTTTTTATCTTAGAAACCTAGAAAAAGAAGAGCATATTAAACACTAAGTAACTAGAAGGAAGGGACTACTGAATATAGGCAGAAATTGGTGAGACAGAAAATGGACAAACAGTCCAGAAAAGGAAAGCCAATAGATTGTCTAAATTTTTAAAGGCTAACAGTAGTCGAAGTCGCCAGGATATGGGGTAACTGAAACTCTAATGTTATTGGTAGGAATATAAAGTGGCACAACTACTTTGGAAAACAGTTGGCAGTTTTTATACAACTTCCCATGAACTAGCAAAACAAGTCCTAGGTATTTATTCAAAAGAAATGAAAACATACTGACAAAAAGTAGTACCTGAGTGTTTATAACTTTTCTATGTTTATTCATTCATAGCCCCAACTGGAACCAAGCTATGTGTCCATTATAGGAGAATGGATTTAAAAATTGTAGTTTGACTTACAATGGAATGTTACTTAGCAATAAAACAGAACGAGCTTTGACTCACACAACAACAGGAGTGAATTTCAAAAACGTGTTAAGTGAAAGAAACCAGACACAAAAGAGTACTGTATACTTCCCTTCATATGAAGTTTCACAACAGGCAAAAACTAATCAAAAGAAGACAGTGGTAGTGAAGAGGGGCTGGGAGGGGCCAGCAAGGAGCTGGGGTGATGGAAATGTTCTGTCTTTTGATGGTGTGTTGTTTGTATGGACACAAGTTCATTCAATTATATAGATTTAGGATCTGTGCATTCTTCTGTGTTAAGATTACCAGATGAAATATGGTATCCATTTAAGTTGAATTTCAGATAAACAACAAAAACGTATTTTTTGAAATACAACTATGTCCCATTCAATATATGGGAAACATTTATACTACAAAAAAATTATTTTCAGTTAGAAATGTAATTGAGTTCCTGTGTTTTTATTTGCTAAATCTGGTGACTCCATATGTAATTTAACCTCAATTTAAATGAAATTGTAAAATGAAAAATGTACCCTATTCATCAGCAGAAAAAGGATGAACAATATTGTTTCTGGTCTACTATCATGAAAGTTCAGTGTTTTGGCAGTAAAAGTAGAAACACTTAAACACTACATACATTTAGTTAATAGTTGTTAGCCCTTTAATACTATTACTTTTTAATGTTATTTTAAACTACCATAGAGTGAAACCACTCTCATATTCTAGATGCACAATAGTTCTATCACCCCCCCAAAACCCTCTCATACTTTCCCTTTTTATATACACCCCTCTACCCACCTGGAAACCATTGCGCTGATCTTTCTCTACAGTTTTGTCTTTTTGAGAACGTCATATAAGTGAGTCTGGCTTTTTTCAGCAAAATGCTTTTAAGACTCATCCAAGTTACTGCATGTATCAAAACTGTATTCTTTTTTATTGCAAAGTAGTATTCTCTTGTATAGATGCATTGCAGTTTGCTTATCCATTCACTTTCTGAGAGAGATCTGCGTTGTTTCCAATTTTTTGCAATTACTTATTATAGAGTCGTTAAAATGTTCACATACAAGTTTTCATGTGAACATTAACTTTTATTTCTCTAGAGTAGATACCCAGGAGTGTGACTGCTGAGTCACATCATAAATGTACGTTTAATTTTATAAAAAACTGCCAAAATGATTCCCAGAGTGACTGTATCATTTTGCATTCCAGCA